AAAATGTTTCTCATTTCAAGAGGAATTTACGTACTGCACATACTAAAAAATGTTTCAGATTCATATGGCAAGATATCCAAATATATCTTGACATACTTACCATTTAATAGAAAAGAAGTGCACATTATATTCGACAAGTACAATACCCCCACTATCATATATAAAAATAAGAACGCTCAATTTTTATAAGTATTGATCATATAACAAATTAATTCATCAATTATTTTTTTTATTAAATATAAATTTTTCTTCTACATCATGCGTAAGTATTGAAACCGCAAAATTTTATAGTTTAATTTTGTCGGACAAGCAAAAAAACGATAATTTTGTCGGACAATTAAATTCTCAGATTAATATTGCATTTTTTTAAATAATGACGCTTTTCTCCGACAGCTGGTTATCACCAACCATGTTGTCGTTAAGTCGACATCTTCGGTGCGACGGACTGCAAAAACTTCTCAAGAATTTTGTCGGACAATAAGATACTTTAATTTCAAATCTTATTACCACACCCTCCCAGAAAAATCACCTTGCTGGTCGTCACCAACCATAATGTCACCAAATCGACATATTTGGGGTGGGGGACAAACTCAAAATATCAACATTTTTGTCGGAAAAATTTTTTGGGGGGTTCAAAAAAAAATCTCATTTAAACTTAAAAAAAGTGCTGGTCATAACATTCCATGCTTATGCCAAATTGACATGTTTTCCTGAAAATCACGGGAAAACTTACCACTGTTGAATTTTCCTCATAGTCAAATCTTGGGAGACTCGTCAAACTTAAGCTGCACGCAAAGTTACAGCTTGCTGGTAATCATTTTTTCTTTGTACGTGGGCCCGTGGACTATTAGATTTTCAACTCATTTTAAAATATCTAACCTTTCATTTGTTTATTTTTTAGTTCCACACCACTATACTTTGTTTAATAGAATATATTATTTATATATAATTTTTTTCCATACACCTTTTAAATATTCCTTCACACTTTCTTTTAATATTTGTTTGTATAAAATAGTTGGCATATACATAAATATTAAACTTGTAATAGCAGCGAACTATGAGATGTACTACCACATCAAACATCAAAATCTACCTTTCGTTACTTAGATATCAATTGCATAATATTTTTAATGATGTAAAGTACGTCACAAATTATTTTCTAAATTGTATAGATAATTAATTTTCTGAAAAACATAAAATGCAAATTATGTATTTTTTTGGATCGAGCAATCATTGAACAGTTAAATAACTAGTGAACAAGTATAAACTTTTCCAGTGTATGTAGATGCGGTATGTAATATTCTACGTATTTTTTTAATGAAACCATTACATTTGTAAATTTCTTTTATAAATTATGGAGTTGTTCCTTTGTCTTATAATGTTTGTCTTTTGCATAATAGTTTTTTACATAAATACTGTGATCCATCATAATTTTAAGAGATTTAAAAAATACATTTGTTTAAACAGCTATGCAGATGTTTGACTTAGATTGATAAAACTTGGATCGAGAATTCAGTTAAAACTCACTGAATACAAATTTATGAACCAGTGACGGTGATATTGAATGGAAATTTTTTTAAATTTCGACACCACTCAGTATTTTGATTCATATATAGATTTAAAAAATATACAATATAATACATTATTTTTATTAAATTCTAAATGTAGGTACAGTATTTTTCTCAGATTTATTTATTTTTTCTCAGTTGCTGCCATCATTTTAATAATATGTGTCTGATTTTACCTTTTTTACTCTCTGTTAAAATTGCTAATTGCAGCTTTATACAGTCAGTGAGTTAATTTATGAAGTTGATGAATTTATTAAATATGTATATCGCAAATGTATTACGCATTTTTTTATTGTAATTAGGTAATCAGTATTTTTTTATTAATTTTGAATATTAGTGGCTGAAAACGTACATAGTTGCGCGAAACTAAATGTGTACAAGACATAGCTAGTACCATGCGAAACATCGCCATAATTTTAAAAATGTTGTCACCGCCGTTTTTGGGGGTGAAAATTCGAAATATTTAGAATTATTCAAATTTCGTGGCTGTAAATGTACGTGGGTATTGTATTTTTGAAACCGAGTGAAACTTTCATATACAACCAACTTTTATCTGCTCCCACTATAGTAAATAGACTATTAATACATTGTTTTTAAGGAGGTAAGTGGATTTTACCGTAGAAGTGGAAGTTGCTGTGGACAACGGGAGGTAAGTTAGGTAACTTTATCTCCTTAGGAAAAACAGCGCTTTCGATTTGTAAATGCATATTTTATGAACAAATAAATAGAAATATTTGATGAACATTACATTTTATTCATTATTATGAATGAATATTAATAGTAATTGTACAGTTATTACATTTAGTAACATTTATAAAATCTGGATAATTATTCCCCTCGCGTTTACTAATTATCAAATTTTTCTCCAAATGATTTGACCACTCCATTTCAGTCACCGAAGGCTCAATATTATATGACTGATCCATTAAGACCTAGAAACTAGAACCTTGAGTTGAAGTATCACTGTAAAAAATCCTGTTGGCTATTTCTTTTTTGTTACTGAAACTGTCAGCAACATAACTTTCTGCAATTGTGGCTGATTTCCACCCACCTTGATTGCTAATACATCAACTGTATTAGCCAGTAACGTTGCCGATGTTCTTCGGAATGAATGGCCTGTCTATGTTTCAGGATGTTTTAATTTTAAAAACTGTGCAATCTTATTAGGAATCATAGAAAGGGTATTCTTGCCGACTGGTTGGTTGTAACATGTACCTGCTTGATAGCGTATAAAAAAGCGTAAAATTTCTATTTTACTTTCCAATCTAATCTTGATATATTTCTTGAGAATTTCTAGGTGAGAAACAGAACCCAGACGAGAAATAATTGTAAACGTACGTGACATACCATTTTTAGAATCTGGAATTGTAACTACAATAATGTTATCGAAATTTTTGAAATTAACGTTGTCCAAAGTAAATTTGCATAACTCATCAAAACGGCATGCTCCTGCAATGCCTAAGACCGTCACTACGTTCGTTAGCAAATATGTGTTATCAGGTGCCTGAACGAGAAAATTGTTGACTTGTTCTCTTGTAAAAACGTTTGACTTTTTAGGTGTATAGCCATCATTCTAGCACTTTTTATTTAAAAATCACTTAATTAGAAATAATAATTCAAAACCAGCAAAATTGTAACTTTTATGTAGCCTTGGTTATAAACACCTTAGAAATATATTTGACTGTAAAAGAAACGGGCAGAGAGAATTCATTTCTTCCTCGAGCTGTAGACTGTAACAGTTTGTAACGTTTCCATCTAATAAAGCCAAATACCGAGTGTTCAGTTGTTTACTATTATCTCTTGGGTGTTTACAGTAAAGCAGTTAAAATCCAAACAACCAAGGCGACTTTATAATAACTTTCGAATAAAGTCAAAATGAACTGAATGTCAAAAAATAACACTTAATTTTTATTTCATGAACCATAAAGGACTGTGGGAGCAGATAAGATGTTATACAGCACGTTGCAGTTAAGTATAATTTACCAGTCTCGGACTAATAGAGTCTCCAGTCCTCTTTTATTGGTATAACTATTGTCTGTAAATAATGATGCTTTCGTATTGGTCATATGGGCAGTGTCATAGACGTAGGTGCATCGACCCCGACAGCTGCACTAGAAGTCATGCTAAATCTACCACCGCTGCATATAGTGGTGGAAAGAGAAGCGCGGCTAGCAGCATATCGACTCAGGAATAACAATGACTGGAGGGCTGGTTCCCACTCCAGGATCGTAGATACATCTGTTATTACTTCATTATTAAAATGCCCGCACAAAATGTCGTGGCGCAAGGCGCCATCTAATGTCAGATTAGAAAAGCTGCGTGTAACCTNCTCCCACTATAGTAAATAGACTATTAATACATTGTTTTTAAGGAGGTAAGTGGATTTTACCGTAGAAGTGGAAGTTGCTGTGGACAACGGGAGGTAAGTTAGGTAACTTTATCTCCTTAGGAAAAAACAGCGATTTCGATTTGTAAATGCATATTTTATGAACAAATAAATAGAAATATTTTATGAACATTACATTTTATTCATTATTATGAATGAATATTAATAGTAATTGTACAGTTATTACATTCAGTAACATTTATAAAATCTGGATAATTATTCCCATCGCGTTTACTAATTACCAAATTTTTCTCAAAATGATTTGACCACTCCATTTCAGTCACCGAAGGCTCAATATTATATGACTGATCCATTAAGACCTAGAAACTAGAACCTTGAGTTGAAGTATCACTGTAAAAAATCCTGTTGGCTATTTCTTTTTTGTTACTGAAACTGTCAGCAACATAACTTTCTGCAATTGTGGCTGATTTCCACCCACCTTGATTGCTAATACATCAACTGTATTAGCCAGTAACGTTGCCGATGTTCTTCGGAATGAATGGCCTGTCTATGTTTCAGGATGTTTTAATTTTAAAAACTGTGCAATCTTATTAGGAATCATAGAAAGGGTATTCTTGCCGACTGGTTGATTGTAACATGTACCTGCTTGATAGCGTATAAAAAAGCGTAAAATTTCTATTTTACTTTCCAATCTAATCTTGATATATTTCTTGAGAATTTCTAGGTGAGAAACAGAACCCAGACGAGAAATAATTGTAAACGTACGTGACATACCATTTTTAGAATCTGGAATTGTAACTACAATAATGTTATCGAAATTTTTGAAATTAACGTTGTCCAAAGTAAATTTGCATAACTCATCAAAACGGCATGCTCCTGCAATGCCTAAGACCGTCACTACGTTCGTTAGCAAATATGTGTTATCAGGTGCCTGAACGAGAAAATTGTTGACTTGTTCTCTTGTAAAAACGTTTGACTTTTTAGGTGTATAGCCATCATTCTAGCACTTTTTATTTAAAAATCACTTAATTAGAAATAATAATTCAAAACCAGCAAAATTGTAACTTTTATGTAGCCTTGGTTATAAACACCTTAGAAATATATTTGACTGTAAAAGAAACGGGCAGAGAGAATTCATTTCTTCCTCGAGCTGTAGACTACAGNTTTTTATATTCACGCTTGAAGAAAAAATAGTATATGTCACTCGGAGTGGAAGGCTCATTATGTGTTTTGCCCAATTTGCTCAGCCTCGGCGAGCAATAATGATCGCCTTCTACTCCTAGTAACATAATATACTATCATTCCACTAGTGGATAAAATATCACTAGACGGTTCATATGTGTGGATAAAAGTCCAATTATAATATGATTGTGGATAAAAGACTTTTGCGTTCTATAGACAAAAAAATGTTGTTTTGACTTAATAAAATCATGCAAAAGTAAACTTTTATAGACAGTTTTCGAAAAAAGTTTTATAAAGGTTATTTGATATTCTCCTGCAAGATCGTTATTGTCTAGGCCCTTTTTGAGATAATACCTTTATATGATTACTGCCACTGTCAATATTTTTATAAACAGTTTTTATGAAAGTCCTGTGGGTTATTAAAAATCATAAATTGTTATTTGAGATTTTCAAACGTTCTAACAGCTGCCAAATTACCTAGAACGACACAATCCAAATATTTCATTTTACAGATTGTTTCGTAAGTTACGGGATTTTCTACGCTTTGTACATTGTCGATTTCTTCTTGGAGCTTTACTTGGATTGACGGGTTTAAAGCTAGTTCATACGCTAGAAAACTGCTAGCCGATAAAACAGCTTCTATCCCAGTATCTGCAAAATTAGAAAATAACGTTTAGAGTTAAAATTAACTAACAAAATATCTGCTTTAAACAAGTTCTAGAAAGGTTACCCTGCTGTCATAATAAAACATATTTTGCTAGAGGAACCTATTAGTGGTTAAAAGATTTTTCTGCTAAACTTTTGTGTGTTGTTGCAAGACCATCTTCTTATTATGGTAGCTAGAGATTCAATTTTTACCCTATAGCAAAAGTTTTTATAGTGTTTTACCACAATACCAGCAAAACCTTTTCTCTTCAAATAAGTGACTTTGTAGACATTATTAAGAGATCTTTTTGCCATAACTACATGCACTTGGCTAGATTCAATTATTAACTTTGTCTTCAAACTTTTCTCTTCAAAATAAAAAAATTACAAGTAAAAAAACAAGACATCTACAATTGACGAGAGCTCATAAAGTGAAATAACAAAACAATTTTTTTCTGTAAGTTCGGTACTTACGTGAATTTAAAAACATCACAGCATGGGCTGTTAATTCATTCTCTTCCCACTCTTTCTTAGGATGGTCCCCTAAGTCTCCACCTTCTGCTTCATCATCTGCGAATACTACAGTTCGATCCCCTTTCGTTTTTCCATTTTCGTCTTTTACTCTTCCTTTACTAGCACTTACTATGTAATTCAGGAAATTGTTCCTGTTTTTATTTCCTACTTTGCAGCCTTGCAAGGCTTCCGCCACCATCTTCTTGTAGAAGTCTGTTTTGGAGGTGGCAAATACTTTTATCTGAAGAATCTTAAAAAAGCGGACATGAACATCTACAACATTGTTTTTAAAAAATATGAATAATTAGCAACAAGGAATAAAATAAGTGGATAAATAAACATTTTGTTATTTTTGTATACAGGGAATTTCTTAAGTAGATATCAGAAATCCAGGTGCGAATTCTGTGGCCCGGTTTAGAAATTAAAAATTAAAAACTGATTCTTTTTTAAATATTTGACACGCTGTAGGACAATAGCTGTCCTAAGACCCCACATTTATGTAACAAAAAACAAAAAACACTTATTTTTGGTCACAGAATTCGCCCCTGGATTGTTGATCTCTATTTAAGAAACACCCTGTATTACTACGAATAAAAAATGCAACAAAAAGATTGGTTTGAATTTTTAATATGGAACATTTTAACTGGTTTATTTAAAAAAAAGTGACAAAGTAGCTAAAGGATGTGTTAAAGATTATCTTAAGCAGAAAAAATACGACTATTGACATTTTTACATTACACTCACTCTGGCTAGAATTGGACACAGCTGTATCAGCGACAATTTCAGCCTTTCCAAGGCACCAAAACTCTTCAGCTGCCTATACGCCCTAAAACAATCGTTATTTCCATCTTCTAAAGAATTGCTGGAGATGCCGAAACAAACTCTGGATATCACATCGCATTCGTATCTTGAGAACACGTCATTAAGTTGAATTTCTAACAAGTCTTTCTCTTCTCTCACGAAATAATTGGAAAAAATTTCCGCACAGTTCGATATAGATTCAAACACACCCTCAATTTGTGGAACGCCGAATAGGTGGTTTAGAGAGATTCTAGTTTCTTGCCAGTCTTTCCCTGTAACAGATCAAATTGTTGTTTTTGAGGTTATAACAACGCGTATGCGTGTATGTATACCTTTAAGACTTGTAAGGTTGTTGCCTACAACCTTGTCGAATTTTTTGTCGAAAATTGTTACTCTGTCCGTGAAATGGTCGAATTCTTCGGAGCATATTCTCTTTATTAAGTCTAGGTCTCTTACTAGGAGCGCGGGTTTCATAAAGATGTAAATCCCAACGTATCTAAAAGGATAACGACTTTTATTCTTATAAATTGTTCATACTTTACATTTGTTATTATTGTTAGTTCCTCTATTTGTTTAAAATTAATTTAATAGCAAGAAAGAGATCTGATTGTGTTAGATACGCAAACTGATAGTGTACGGTATCCTTTACAGACACATACCTTCATTATTAATTATTTTCCGTTTTCGGTTTAAGTGACTGAGAGACACAGACAGAGGTAAAATTACTCATTTAGCCAATTTAACTTCGTTGGCCTTGTTTTACACAAGATAATACTAGACACACTAGTATCAACATTGTAATTTAATTCTTAATATGAATCAGAACATGCCATAAAAAATGTTGTACTCCTTATTCATCATTAAGATAATAAATTTTGTACCACATAGTGAAATATATTTTTTAATTATATAGCGTGTGCATTTTGCTGGCCAACATGTGATAAATGGGCTCAATATGCATTAGTTCACAGTTTTGTATACCATTTTGGTATCGAATTTTAAAAACATCTACTAGGCGAGCGGTTCACCCCTAAAAAGATGCTTCTAAATGAAGGTAACCGACTAAATTTTTAAAACAAAAAAATTCAGCATGAAACATCTTTTATTTTATAAAATGTATTTTTTTGATAATTTACATATTTTTTTACATTTTTCGGCGTGGTCAGTCAATTGTTATAAACAAAAAAGTTGTAAAAAAAATTACTCGCCGAATGGCTTTGAAAACAGTTTTTGATTGTAAAATGGACCAAAATAAACACATTTTGCGAAAGATGTTTCGTTTCCGAGATATTTACAATTTAATGTGAAAAAAGTGATGAAATCGACAAACTTTCGGAATTTTTTTCTCAAAAACCACTGAACAGATTTTAATTCTAAAAAAATACAAAAACAGAATGATCTTTTGAACATTTTTACTGTTAACATACATCGATTTTAAAAAATTATAATAATGTTTAGTGTAAATATAATCTGATCCAAGATATTGTAAAAATAAAATTTTAATTTGAAGTGTTATCATAATTTTCTTTAAAAGCCGTTTTTTATTCGCTTTAGACTTTTAATAAAATGATTGACCCATACCAAAAAAATATATCTTAAAGTAGAAAATCTGCCGATTATTATGCTTTTTTAGAATTAAACTCAGTGGTTTTTGGGAAAAATATTCCGAAACTTTGTCGAATTCGTCACTTTATTCACATTAAATTGTAAATATCTTGGAAACGAAGCATTTTTCAAATTTTTTGTCAAAGAACAAAAAGTGTTTATTTTGGTCCATTTTACTAGAAGAAACNATAAATTCAAAAAGATCAAGACCCATATAAAACATGTTTAAGGTCGGCGTTTTATAAATAAACAAGAAATCACAGTTTTAGTAAGAGTAATAGAACAAGGAAATCGCCATCTTCTCAACACTAAACTATGAATCGCAATAATTTCTATAAAATTTATTTTTTATTATTTTTTTTTAGAAAAGTACATAATTTACACATAAATGCTCTCAGCAGTGATTGATTCAGATTATGTATTAGAAATAATATGCTAGTATCAAGATCTATATTAAACTTTTTCCTTTCATGTTTTTCTTTGGCAAACTAGAGGCTGGTAACTATCCTAGGCTTCAAGCCTAGGAATGTGTTGGTTGCACCATTAACATCAAATTGGTTAGGTCCAACCTCCACCCGAATTTTGGTATTTTCTGTCGGCACCAGGTCGAACTTTGATAGTAAGTGGAAGAATAACAGTTTGATCTCCAAGAGCGCCAATTTGGAACCTAAAAATTACCAGAAAAAATATGATTTTCAACTACTTTTTTCGCTAAATACACTTAAGAAATAACAAAATATACCTATGCACTTCCGAGGTCCTGTTCCAAACGGCATATAAGTCCCAGGCAGAATTTCACCCCTGTTTTCCTCGCTAAACCTTTCGGGGTTGAACTTCTCCGGCTGAGGGAAGTAGTTGGCATCCCTGTGGATCGCCATGATGGGTATGATGACGGCGGTGTCTTTTGCTATCACAATTTTCTCGTCGTCCGGTGTGGAAAGGTCCACTTCGAAGAAATTTTTTACACATTCTCTGTCCGTTTGGTACACCAGCGGCCATTTTCTCAGAGATTCTAAAAAAAGATATATTTATGTCCGAAATTTTCCCTAGAGGGTTGTATAATCACAAACAACAATTTAAATGTCGTTTAGTCTGGGTCCAGTTTTATACAAGTTTTATGAAAGATGTTCGCAGGTCAATTAGTTTTAAATCAAGTTTATTTGAAATCACTTTTACGTCTAGAGTGTAATAATTTGTTGAAAAGCATTTATCATAAACCTTTTCGGACTTCTACATAAACCAGTTTAGTCTTAAACAGGAATATAAAATTTTATTCAAGTGCAAGTTGATTTATCTTTGCCAGCATTTAGTTTTAGTTGGAATTGTATGAATTTATCCATGTTCGGGAAAATATATCTAGAACAACAATGTCTTGCAAGTAATTAAATTGAATCTAATCATACTAATTTAACGAAAATATAACGCTTTGTTCAGAAAGAGGACATTTCTCTATAGTTTTCCTATACTTCTAACGACGCATGGTCCATTTAGAACTGTTTTTTTTGGAAAAACACAATTAAATATACTTGCATCACTATTCTCTGTGTAAAATACATTACTTTAGTACATAAAATTTAAAACATACAGAGGTATATTAATAATTTAGAACCACTTTTCAACCTTAAACTATTTGTCGTTAGAAAACTTTGACATTACCAACATCTTTTGCTGGTTTTTCCTTTTAAACACAATGAAAACTTACAAAATAAAAAATAAATAAATAATTTGTTTTGTTGCAAGTAATAATAAATTATCAGTAAAATGGTTCTAATGATTAATATTTAAGATAAATGTAGATTTTTATAGCTTGGTTAATGTTTCAGTAATACGTTTTATCTAAGATTAAGCACCCTTGTTATAGGTTTTATTCAGCTCTCTAGCTTTAGGCTTATCTAGAAAATAGTTGTTTTTGTCGCTAGATTGCGTACTTGAAAAATTGACATTAATTGAAAATTACATCCTGGATATAATAGTTATTAATTGTATAATTGTTTTAAGTAGCATTTTATCCACACGAATGTTTAAACTCGAGAACGTAGTTCGAGCATTTAATATTCTTATGTGCATAAAAGGCAGTTAAAATAAGAATGCAATACAACGTTTTGTCCATAATCACATCACAATCATATTTGTGTAGTCAGAATTATTGGAATTTAATAAAAAAATATTCGCACGACTTGATATTTCTTACTAATACTCAATGAAACGTGGTAGATTTTGTTGTACCTTCTGGTTGCTAAGATACGTTGTTTATTTAATAAACAGTTCTATCTGAATTTGGTAAAAATGGAACAAGTAATTATATTCCTGTGGCTGATTCTGAAGAAGCTCAAGAAGCAATTTTCCATTTATTGCCAGTGATATCCAGGGAACAATACGCAAAAGTGTTTGCCGAATTTAACGAATAGAGGGAAATACGTAGAGTAATACAATAAATGAAGAAGTCATGCTATCGTATTTTTTAAATTTGAAGAAAAAATATGCAATTTCATCTATGTGGTCGAACCATTCGATGTTGAAGGCTATAGAGGTCTACAAACGTGTAGATATTGGGAAATATAACAAGCTGATTGCTTATTTGAAGAGTGAATCGAGAGGATGCAAAGCAAAAAAAGCTGCAGTATTGGAAAGAGCACATATTGAAGAGTTTTTGACTGGGGTTCCAATAAAGAATATTAATGATTAAGGTAATATCTCTTTACCTTTTATATATTGTTAGGTATATAGTGAACTTTGAATTATTTTAGGTTGCACTAATAATGGGGGTTTCTGGTACCTGTCGATGCTGCGGATCGATAAATTTGAAAATTAGTGACGTACAGGACATTGGGAGTTACTTACCTACTTGTTTCGATACCTGCCACCAAGACGGGCATTTCAAGAGAATTTACAATTATAGAAGAAGAATTTTGCGTGAATGCTGTTGAAATATGCAGAACATATATTTCTCTGCGCCCAATTCGCCTAACACAATTCTTTTTAGATAAATCAATCAAAAATGTACCTACTTCTCAGCCTGTTGGAATCAACACATTTGCGAAGGTACCCTCAATATTTGCTTTATTCCTGAATATCGGAAATCCAGAAGCATATACTGGACATTGTATGAGGCGCACTTCAACAACTTTATTGACCAATAAAGGTGCTGGTGTTACAACCATCAAACGGCATGGTGAACGGAAGAGCTTCTCTATAGCAGAAAGTAATGTTGAGGAGTCTATAAACAAACTTGATATTGCAGGGAAAATCCACGAAAAATATGCTGTTCCTTACAAGAAGAGACGTAACTTGTGCAAATTCTTCACAAACTTCGGCAGATGTTATGCGTTCCGAAAATGATGG